GTGTTTTATATAAAATTATGTATATACTTAAATCATTCATTTACATGGTTTTTCCTTCATGTATATTGTGTTTTATATAATTTTTCATATAAAGTATATTTTATATAGTTATTACCTATCTATTATCATTTCATCTTTTCAAGTCCCTATTAAATCTTTTCTCTTCCTTAACCCACCCCCATCCACCCATTAATGTCTGCAGTCCTCGTAAATGCCCTCTTGCTCATTTTTCTGCCTTCCTCTTCCTTCTTCCATTTATACTAACATGTTCAGTTATCCTTCTATGATTTTATGCATTATTTGTCCATATGAACTTCAGTTATTTTACTCAGTATAACACTTTGTAGACTCTCCCCATTTATACAATATTGACTAAATCACCATTCCTTAGTCCTGCATAATAGTCCATTGAGTGAATGTACCACAGTATCTCAATCCATTTGTTGATGGGTGTTTGGGTTATTTTTTTGTCTTGCTAGTGTGAACAATGCTGCTATGAACATTGTTGCTGTGAGGTGCCGACAAGTCAAGGACAACTTGTAGCAACCAGATGAACAATAGCGTTGTTCTCTCTGAATGTTGACCTATCCTGTACAATCCTAAGCATCTCTGGCACACTTGAGCCATTGCTATAGTTTTCATGTCAGTCAATCTTGTAGGGTTTTGTGGGGCTTTTTTCTCTATTAGCTATATAATGTTCCTTTCCAAGGACTAGTCTCTTCTAGCAACACACACGAAGTATGTGAGATGAGGTTTTGCTGTCCTTGCTTCTAGGAAGCACTCCAGCTGCACTTTTCCATAGTCATATCTTTTCTTTTGGCAGTCCATGGTTTTCTCCAACAATAAAGGCAATAGTCTCTTCTGCTGTCATCCTTATTCATTGTCTAGCTCTCAGACACATAGGAAATGATTAAAAAGACCAGAGTCAAAACCAGGCATATTTTAACCTGAAAACCAACATCAGTGCCCTTCATTAATTTGGAGAGGTCTAATTGAATTGTTATTGCTGTTGTTGTTAGGTTCCATCAACCCATAGTGACCCATGAACAACAGAACTGAACCCTGTCCAATCTTGTGCCATCCTCATACCTCCCGGTACATTAGAGCCCATGTGGCAGTCACTGTGTCAGTCCATCCAGTCAAGGGTCGTCCTTTCCTTCACTAACCCTCTACCTTTCTGAGCATCATGTCCCTCTCCAAGGAATAGCTCCTCCTAGCAAGATGCCCACAGTATGTGGGGCAAAGCCTCATCATCTTTGTTTGCCTCCAAAGAGCACTCTGGCTGCACCCTCTCCAAGACATATTTATTTGTTCTTTAGGAAGTTCATGGCATGTTCGCTGCTCTTCTTCAACCCCACAGCTCAAAGGTGTCAATTCTTCTACCATCCTTACTCATTGTCTGGCTCTAAGATACATAACAGGTGATCAGAAATACCATGATTTGAATTAAATGCACCTTAGTCTGCAAAATGTCATGATTACTCCCCAATAATTTGGAGAGATTCCCCAAGTGCAGACTTTACCAGTGCAATATGTCTCTTGATTTCCTGACTGCAGGTACCAAGGGTGTTAATTGTGGATCTTAGTAAGATGAAGTTAAGAGTTTCCATCTCCTCTCCATCTATCATCACAGCTCTAAGGCATCAATTCTCTTTCTATCCTCCCCAGCCATTGTCCAGCTCTCTAATGCACAGCAAACAATTGTGAAGACTATGGCCTGAATCAGGTGCATACTTTATTTATATAGTGGTGCCTAATAAAAAAATGCCACTGGTGAACCTGGTGAATGACTTCACCAAAGAGATTTGTATTTCTCACTAGAGGAGGTTAGAAGTCTAAATTCTGAAGGCTGTCTATCTTTATCAACTCTGGAGGAGTGTCCTTCTTATCATAAACCTTCACATAAGTCCATGAGGTTCTTAGCACAAAGATCCTAAGTCCAAAAAACGTTCTCCATTCTCAGCTCTTCCTTCTCTTTAGTAGTCAGGAAAAGCTGTCTAGATTCTGAGGCAGAGTAAAGTTAGTACCATCAGAGCACACATCCAGGACTTGAAGTTAAAAGGACTTGGCAAGTATACTCATTCATGCCAATTATCTCGATCCACCGGAGTGGAATTAAGAGAGACACAATGAAGAAATAAGCTGAGTTTTGACGTGTTCTTTCAGGACTGTCTACCTAGTATGCACAATTGTATGGATGGGGCGGGGGGAAGGGTGGGTGGGTGTTGACAAGCAGAACAGGGTATCATGAGGATCCCTAGCTTACAGAGTTGCCTCCATGTGGAGGCTAAGGATGGGTGAAGGGCCAAACAGGTCTGAAACATAGGGAGACGTGTGGACACATAAGTTTGAAGCTGATCCCGTTTGAACCACAGATAGCTGAGGATGAGTTGCCCAGACCCCAACCATATGATCCCACAGTGTTGACTGTGGCAGCCTGATGGCTTGCTCTCAATGGGACTTTCCTTGTGGATGCAGACGTTCATAGTTTCTAAACTGAACAGAAGACTCTTCAATAAAAGGGATATATGCTTGTTCTCTCAAAATGCTGATTTGATAAGTATGGGCAAAATTGATATCTAAAATAGAGATATTGAGCAAGGGGAATGAAGCAGCTGCCGTACAAGCCTTCACAAATGTAGTTATTAAAGATTATAAAGAAGGAACCTCAATATTCAAGAACATAATGTGGTGCAAATGAAAGATTTCATTTTGTTGTATAAAACACAACAAACATGCATGAAACACAGGGAATATGAATAACTGTATGCAAAGCAATAAAAACAGCTCTTGGTGGAAAAAAATAGAATGTGTGACTCAAGATAGGGTTTGACTTGAGCAAGGGTGATGACTTGAGTAAGGCACCCACTCCAAAGTAGTTCTTCCTCATTAAGAGATATAGAGGTTACATTACAAAATGGGGAATACAGAAGAACTAATGCTTTTGATCTGGAGTGTTGGAGAAGAATACTGAATATCCGATGGACTCTCAAAAGAACAAGCAACATATATCTTAAAGAAGGTGTAACCAGAGTGCTCTTTGGAGGCAAAATTGACAAACTATTGTTCTACAAAATTAGGGCCTATTGCTAAATGAGGCTATTCCTTGAAGAGGGACAACATGCTTGAACAGTGGACTGTTGGTAAAGGAGGGAAAGAGATTGAAGTTGTTAACGATTACAACCTTCTTAGCTCCAAAATCAACCCCTTAACACCAGCAGTAAGGAAATCAAAAGACGTATTGCATTGGGGAAAATCTGTTGCCAGGGACATCTCCAGAGTGCCGAAAAGTAAGGATGTCAGTCTAGAGACTAAAGTGCAACTAATCCAGGCCATGGTCTTCACAATTACTTAATATGCTTCAGAGAACTGGACAATGACTAAAAATTATAGAAGATGAATCAATGCCTTTGGGTGGTTGTGGAGGAAAAGGGTCTTGGACTGCCAAGAAAACAAATAGGTTTGTTTAGGAGAGGGTGAAACCAAATTTCTCCTTGGAGGCTAGGATTTTGAAGCTCCCTCTAACATACTTTGGACATATGAGCAGCAAAGACCAGTCCTTACAGAAAGACATCATGCTTGGAAGGGAGAAGGAAAGCACAGGAAAGGAAGACTCCAGATGAGATAGATTGATATAGTAACTGAAGCAATGGGGGTTGATGTGTTGAAATTAGTGAGACTAGTTCAGGACATGGCAGGGTTCAGAGCTACTGTACATAGGGTCACTATGGGTCCCAGGCACCTTGATGGCACCTAATAACAACAAAAATGTTTTATTATTTCACAGTACTTATTAGTAGGTGCCCTCAAGTGTTCTGAGTCATAGCAACACATACAAAGTTTAAAACTTCCCTATCCTTTGTTTCTGCTGTCCTTGACCTCACTGTGGAAAGATACTGTGCCAATATACTTCGTTGAGGTTAGTTCACTTCTTCACTGATCTTTCACTTTACCAAATATAATGTCTTTCTCTGGAGATTAAACTCTCCAGCTAACATACTCAAAGCATGTGAGAATAAGTTGCACCACCCTAGTTTTTAAGAAGCATTCTGGCTGCACGTCTTCCAAAATAGACTTGCTTGTTCTTTAAGGCAGGTCATGGTATATTCAATACTCTTCATCACACACAATTCAAATTCCTTCCTTGGTCTGCTTTATTCATTGTCCAACTCTCACACACATATGAGATGACTGAAAAGCTATTTTCATCTGTATCACGATCTATCTCAATGAGTTTGTTTTACATCTTAGATGGGGGCAATTCACATAGTACCTGGACCTAGATGAATTGGGTGACACTGAAATACATCAAGAACTAAAAATCTTGTAACTGCTATGTGATATTTCAAGTCCTTCAAACTTACTGCGATGTGTTTACAATTATTATTGTAAAAGTTTCTGCCTTGGATTTTCCCCATACCTCCTTACCGTCATAACTAGCATGTGGCAGCTCTAATTATCTGAAAGCTTCTCAGCATCCACAACACCTCGTCTTAAGACAGAGCTCAGAAGATAGGAGCTTATCTGATTTTTAAAACAACCTTAAAAAGATGAAAACTGAAACTTTACAAAATAAAGCACCTGGAGTGAAAAGAATTCTTTTATAATGTTAAAATATAAAACTGAAAGATAATTTTTGTATTTTAAATTGGCTTTAAATAAATACATCATATTTATATAAATGAAAGGAGCACAAGTGTTGTTCTGAATTTGTTAATTTAGAAACGTTTTACTAACATTTTTAATAGAAAAAAACAGCTAAAGAAGATAATACTATGGAAACAAGTGAATCTAGAGGTCTTTGTGTGTTTCTCTTTAGAAAGTTTTAATTAACCTACTATTTACAATGAAAATAATATTTTATACCAGTTATCCCCTTTGATTAATTTCCACAAACCTTAAAATATGACAAAGAACTATTCAGGAAACATCTTTTTCTCCCAACAGAAATTACTACATCATGAATCTTAACACCTACCTTCTGTGATAAACATATCAAGGTCGGCCCAGTCACTCCAAAATCCTGGGCCATCCAGTCTCTGAGCCCGAACCTGGACCTCATATACAGTCATAGGAAGCGCACTGCCCACTTCCAAGGATGTAGTTAAGACAATCTTAGTATCCTGACAAATTTCAAATGATAAATGTTAATTTTAAAGCATCAGACCACCAACTTAACGTTAAAAATTATAGACTGAACTGTTCACTCTCTGCATATGAATTTTGTATCTTGAATTGATGACAAATACATATATTTATTATTTTTCTATAAATGAAAGAATTACTAATCCCATTTGGGAGTATTGTTTCTTTGTTATGTTATTAAGGCATATCAGTATCAGGTGTTCATTATACCAAATAACAAAACGATCACATTAAGTGTAGAGAAGAAAGTAGAGATGGGGAAGATGGATGTCAGGCTACATTAAGTTCACCAATGAACCTAATTATAGATACTGAAAAGAAACAAGAAACTACCATCAGTCAATAGAGGGTCAAAGCTTTGCCCTAAAGCCTATGTCCTGAATTTGAACTTGTAGTCTCAAATTACTGTTTCTTGGTGAGTACAGCAATTTCTGTTTGCTAAAGCTGTCCACTTATTGTTGCTAGGTGTCGTCAGTGCACTTTAAGTTATAGTGATCCTGTGAAAAAGAGATTTGAACCTTGTCCTATCTTGTATCATCCTCATAATCTCTGACACGCTCCAGACAATTGATACAAACACTGTGTCTTCTCTTTATTTGACCCGTCACCTTTCACATCATGTCGACTTTTTCCAAGGACAGGCCCTCCTGACAACATAACTAAAGTGCGTGTGGTGAACTTTTACCATTCCTTGACTCTAGGGAGCCCCCTAGTTACACTTGTTCTTTGTGGGCACAGTTACACTCATGGTTCTGTCTTTCTCTTAAAATCACCAGATAATTAGGATAGGATTCTTTATCAAAATTCATCATAAGCAAGCCTCAATAAATTTAAAGATTATAACAGTAGAACGTAGTGGAATTACTCCATAGGGAAATTAAACTCAAACCAATAAAAATGTTTGCAAATTCATCAATTAAATAGCCCACATTCCCAAGTAACAAAATAACAATGACAATTTAAATTAAAAAATTTTTGCTGAATAGTAACAATAGCATGTTCTCTCAATATGTGAGAGTTATAACTACTGTCAGTGGGATGCTTCCAGATCCTGTCATAATTTGTAATATAGCATGAAATAATGTTCAGAAGTGAACGGAGAGATAACTATGTATATTCCTAGGTAGATTCAAACCATGTGCCTTTGGATTGGCAGTATAAGTCCTTATCATTAAGCCAGAGATCCATAGAGGAGAGTACAGATGATGTTAAATAGAACCTAGGTATAAGCTACAGCATTATAAAATAGCATTTTAAAGAGGAGAAAAAGACCCTTCATAAAATTCTGAAATCTTTTGTAAAATAATTAGTAAAAATAAATGTCATTTTCTAACAAAGCACTCAAAAATTATTTGTTGATGTCTTTCTTACACTGCAAGGATCACAGACTGAAAATACAGACCAATGTATAAAACAATATAAGGTCCAAATGTTGCATTCACAGCCATAGTAAAAAAAAAATCTATTTAGCAAATTTGCACATTGTGGTGCACAGTTGGCAGAAATGAATACTGTTGTGTGAGGGGAGAGCATCTCTGGATGCCATGGTTAAGGTTATGTATGATTGTGGCTGGGCCATGGCACTCAGTGGTTTCATATTTAGGCAGTGGTGTTAAGTTGGCGGTTATAAAGATGGCATTTGGCAGGATACATTTGACGTAATTTGGCACTTGTATAATGATGGAGTCATCCTTCACTTTGTGACCTATTGGAGTTAACTTCCATTTTCACATAATGTCCAATTTCACATAACAACCTGGTCCATCAAACATAACCATGCTGCTAAGTGAAGAGCTGTTGTTATGTGCTATCAAGTCTCCTGTGACTCATAGCGACCCTATGCACAACAGTTCTAAACCCTGCTCTATCCTGAGCTAACATTAATGTCTCTGACACACCTACCACTATTACCCCAGTCATTGAGTCAATCCACCTCAGGGAAGAGTGTCTGTGTATAATCATAAATCTATATAATTATGATTAAATATAGAATGTGTGTGCATTATATTTTTTCTATTATTATTATATGGACTTCACCTGATGGTATGCATAGGAATCAGATCGACTACATCTGCGGAAGGAACCGCTGGAGAAGCTCAATATCAGCTGTGAAAACTAGGCC